ACCCGTGCTGTCGCTCTAGCCGAGTGCAACGAGCGGCGAACCTGGCGGCAGCCCTCATATGCCCGCAGCCTTTGTCAGCGCCCAGGGCGACTGGCACCGATGCTACCTGGGGCGCCCCGTGTCAGAACTGCCAGGTTGCAAGTCAGAAACTACCCGGGGCTGGGTTTAGCACAGCGACGGGCTTGGAGACACAGAGCACCTTACAGAGCCCGCAGCAGCCAGCCCAGGAAGGGGCTTGGACAGGACCCAGAGACTTTGCCAGATTCTCCAGTTCTGTCGGGGTTGCCCTGGGTGGCACCTTCTTCAGGCTCCCCCTGCGAGTTCACCAGGTTTTCCTGCTTCTCTGCCCACTGGTGGAATGTGTGCCGCTCAGTCCCACCAGCTGTGGCAGGGGAGGTGGGAGTCACATGATGTCAAACGTGGTAGGGAGAGGACCAACTTGTGTGTGTGTGTGTTTTGTGTGTGTCTGTCCAGGTGGGAGTCAGGGATGGGGTTCTAAGAGGATAGGAACAGGGAAGACAACCTAACCAGTTGTCTGATAAAAGGACTTCTGGAAAATTATAAATGTATTTGCAAAAAATAATTAGGAATATAAGCCAGAGGGGAAAATGTTTAATTCTGTCACTTCACATTTACCAACTGGACAAATAAGAATGTTCTTTCTCTCTTATATAAGGGTCTATCTGCTCCCTGGCAAAAAGCAGAAAAATGGAAGTCCTGGTCCTACATTCTTTCTGTGTTGCCCGCTGATGAGCTGCTTCTGGGTGTCACGTGCTTTTCCTTGCCACCTACAGCTCCCAGCCATGGGCCGCAATGCGCTGGGCTTCTGGACAGTCCCTGGACAGAGTCCTCCCTCCATGGCCCCAGAAGGGAAGTAGGTGTGGGACAGGCCAGCTTCCTCCTTTATTGTCTCTCTCTCCAGCCTCTATAACATCATGGCAAAGGACCGAATGAGAAACGTGATTTCTTGTGTCTGTGAGAGGGAAGAAAAGGGCTACTTTAGAGTATGCTTCGAACTACATCTCTGTACACATTGTGTTTTGTCTTTTTTTCATTTATCACTTTGAAGGCTATATAAGATTCAACTGAATGCTTGATACCCATAAATAAATAATAACCCTTGAAGAGACTTATTTTTCCCCATTGGTTTGTTTAGAAAGGTAATGGGAAAATAATCACCCCTCAGTTACTAATGGAATGCCTACTAATTGTCCAGTTGTCAGTCAAAGAGATCTAATGATCAATCCCAGGGCATAAGGAGCTAGGTAAGTCTATTCAACTTAATTAAGTTGTTGGATATTTACTCTGTGCTATGGACTCTCCTCAAATCGGGGTAATTAACTGGTACAACACTGACCCCAAAGCACATGGGCTCACCCTCATTCTTTCCCTTAGTCATTTGTTCACCCAGTCCACAGAAGTCACATAGTATGGAGGGTGAAACGCATAAGTAAAAATACTGCTGCTCCGGGGCAGCGAGTCCCACAAGACAGACCTATGGGAGATGCGGTGGGAATAGGGCAGATAAGCAGTCGTCCCTTACCTGGGGGGAAGCCAGAGAAGGCTTCTCGGAGTCCGCAAAACTGGAACTGTATCCTGCAAAATTAGAAGGCTTGTTAGAGAAGCAAATCATACACATAAAAAAAAAAATTCAGAGAACATGGTATTAAATCATACAATAATCAACTATGAAGTTTAGATAACTTGAGATTAAGACAAGGCAGAATATAAGTGTTAAGTCAGTTATAAAGATGATAAATTGAATGAGATTAGGTCAGTGAGAATAGTAACAAGGGGAGAATAGGGGCAAAAAGGGTTAGGGGATAATTTAAATAGGGTGAGAAATGGAGTCAAACATCCAGGGTAAATTTGCATAATTATTTAGAGTTCCTTGGTTTTAACCTAATACCGCTTTGCTGTTATAGGATCTGATCACCATTATTTTGACTGTTTGTTTTTAGGTACTACTTTCAAAAATAAAAGCACTGAATAGATTTCCAATGGCAATCCCACCCCCTACTCCTGACAAATATCTTCATAATATCATCTGGCTGGAAAATAAAGATGTTCTCATTGAGTTCTTCAAGGTAAAGACTCTGTCTTCTGTTCTGGCTCAGGTTTGACGATAATTATTTTCCACCACCCCCCTCC